GAGGGGGGGGGGGGTCCAAAAAAAAAAAGAATTTTTGGGGAAATTTAAATATTTGCCAAACATTTTCAATGACTTGAATTTCAGTTTCGAATTCGTACTCTTAGTTTTAACAATCAACTCTTCGGTTTGATTTTTTCAAACATGAATTGCTTACCTCTATCAGATAAAATATTATCACTGTTCATGTTCATCCTTTTCTTCAGGAAATGGAACTGCTGTAAGGCAAATTGATATAATTCATTCTCTAACTGCCATATTGAAGAGCTTTCCACTCGTTTGATTGTTTCCTCTGAGGGATCTAACTTCTTCATAGTTTTTCGGAGATGAGCTTTTTTACCTGTAAAAAAAAACCATTCAAAACTTGATTCACGTACTTGATAGCAGAAATTAATTCATTACACATGCAATGGGTTTTACTTTCCTCCTGAATGACTGTTCTCAAGGTAGAGAAAACTTGAGTAGAATAGTGTTGCTCACTTCGTTTCCTCATTTGATAGAGAGGTACAATTGATCCAATTTACGCTATTACACATTCATCAGGGAATAAGTTAATTTTAGCACTGCAGACATGAAGCACATGGTGAAACTGCAGAAATGCGTACCTTCATTTGCGGCATTGCTGATTTCCTGTCACACTTCATCCTTGACATGAAAAACTACCAAACGTCATTCCTTGAAAACTTTCCCAATTTTTCTTCTCGATGTGAAGAATATTTAGTGAAAATTTCAATCCATGATGTTGACTCAGTATATAACAAAAGTCGGTCCTGCAACGCACTCTGGCGTTCTGCGATACCCAAACACCACATGTGCCCATCTTCTCAGAGGTCATCACGCAACTGACAACGCGACACCTTTGTCAATGACCTGCTATCATCCCTTCGTGGGACCTTCCTGTTGCCTTTTCCCAAGTGGTACCCAATCTAAAACTTAATTGGGCAACCTCTCTTCCGACATTCTTTGCACATGTTCATACCACACTAACTGCTTGGACATGACGGCGTGCACGATATCACTTTTCCTTCATCACCTGGCAAAATTTTTCATTACGGACACAGTCCTGTCTCCAGATGCTGGCAGATCACCACCAAAAATCCGTTTCAGTTGCCCTCAACATATCTTGCGTTCGCTTTGTCAAAGGCCACACTTTATTACCATAGAGCAGGATACTTTTCACAATGGCAACATTTATCCGGTGCTTGTTTGCCTTTGAAATGCTCTGATTTCAGAGCACCCTGTATAGCATCACAATGGCTTTTCTCTCCTGGATGATCCTGTCCTTAATCGCCAGATCCATCCTTCCATCCTGATCGAGCCAAACACTGAGATACTTAGACTCAGTATCCGCATTTCAGTATATGTAGTATTGTATCCTTTTAAAAAATAAAATAGGAGCTGAGATTTTGAAACACTGCGACTGAGATACACATTTTTGCAGTTTCATCATCAATATTACAAGGGATGATTCACATAATGGGCCAAGGTGTGAACTAGAGAGTACAGTTGCATGTGTTCCCTTCAAAATTTTGCGTGGGAAACACTTCACACGGCGGAAAGTTTAAAAATCAACTTCTGAATCAAGTAATAATAAGGAATATTTTACCACAGATCAAATGGAAGTTTAACTAAACAAGTGGCGTCATTTGTATTTGGCCATGCAATAAACTCTCTATCTTGTTTGGGAGTTCCCATTGTGTCATTTGTTTTCCTTGTGAAATTTTGAAGAGAAAACATACTGGATAACCTTCAATTTAGACCTTGTCTAGGGCAAATATTGTAACTTATCAAAGAAGCGGGGAAAAGTGACTTACTAGATAAAAAATGAGAGGTAGCACCACGGAAAAACCTAGGAAGAGCAGTTTCCAAAATTGAAATGAAGTCAGTCAACTCCTCCATGACACCAACCACTAAATAGTGCTCAGCAAGATTGCGCTTGGCTTGCTCTAATGCCCACATGCTCCCTGGAACCCTGATGTCAAATTCACACGATAAATTAGGGAAACTTGTACATATTTATGATAACAGAATTATTCTTGAAGATTCTTGTTCATACAAATACTGCCAAATAGATTTCCGCTAAAAGTATACTTGGGCTATCCTAGTTGAAACATTTTTACAGCTACTAATTCAGTATCATAAAATAAATGCTTTTGCGAGCAAAACTGGAAACAGAAAAGAAAAAAAGACAAGAAGGAAGTTGTTGATAATGGAAATGAGCTTTTATAAACTTCATTGATTAAGACTATGGGGGTCTACTTCAGGGTAACGGAAGACAGACACAATTGCAAGATGCTTACTTCCTTGTCTGACTCTCCATTTAAGATGAACAGACTAAATGATATTTACACTTCTCTGAGTTATTCATGTAATTCAATACAGCTAAATTAAATACTTCATTGCTCATTTTCGACTCAATTTTTAAGATTATTGGCAATAAAGCAATAAAGACACTTGCGAAATGAAATTTTTTTTAACAGATGAACAAATATTATTACCAGCATTCAGCAGCTTGTCCGCACAAAAAAGGTACTTGTAACCACATATTGTTGAAATCACAGTCAGGTTTTTGTCTTTCAACACATTCGTCAAAAGTCTGAAACAAAATTCTTACTATTATGAAAACAATATTTTACTTAGATACCTAACTTCAAACACATTTTTCCCAAACTAGATTTTTTGACATGCGCCCTTTTTATAGAGAGCTTCTCAATTCCTCATTGAACATAATTCCAATATCCAGAATGTAACTCAGCTTGAATCCCAAGCCAAACTGGGAGTCAGTTTAATTCTGTGAACAGCGCTGATGTTTTTTTAGAATTCAAGTTTCAAGATTTATCAAATCTCAAATCTTTTTTGTGAAATTTCTTCATTTCCCTAACCTGCTGACAATATCTGACAACCCCCCGTTTTTCGATTTCTGTAGACACCCTAAGACTAACTTGCCAAATCAATCTAGATAATCTGCAATTCAGATGACACTGTATCTGGATAAAGCTTAGTGTACAAACTAAAAAGTTAATTCCTCTATTGATATTGGTGTCTTTTTTTATCTTATAAATTAATAATTATTGGATTATTGTGCTGTTCATTGCAATATTTGCACTTTCAGGAACAATAAACAGTTAAAAAGGAATAGATATAGAGGGTATACAAAAAAAAACAAGGAAACATTAATTAATCCTTTTTCCCTAGAGGCTATTGATGAAAGAATCAAGTAAACAAACCATTGTATCACCATGCTTCCTCCTTATCAGATGAGGTCGAAAATCATCTCCATGTCGAAGGAAATAATAATATGAGACCAAGCGATCTAGCGGTTTCCGTAGTAAGTTTATGTAAATTGGTATCTGAGAGGTACCCAGTCTTTGGAAATTAATGAAACCAACATGTCCATGATAGATAGCTGGTTTTTTAGCATTCCACTTTGTCACGTTCCTCACAAAACGGACCTGCAAATGACAAAGATAAATTGAGTTAGGCAAAAATTACAAAGCACGAGCTCCATTGCACACAAGAGATACTGGACTAAATGGAATCTTTACAGGTAAAATCTCAAAACAGTCACATTAGATAGGCCTGAGATTCACTCTTTAAAGCACAATTAGCGTAGCCTGTATTGCTTTTTTTTTTTTTTTTTTTTTTTTTTTTTTTTTTTTCAAATTTACCATATCTGTGGGCAGTTTTTTTTAGTTGCCTTCAATCAAGTTTGACCCACAAAAGAAGTAGTTTATTTATTTCATTTTTGACCTGAGAAAATTGTATGAAAACTTAACCTGACAAATCAAAAAACTTTGTTGGCGTTGATGTCATGTTTTGTCTTTTCATTCTTAGGCCTCATTCTGAATTTCCGTGCTGTAGACAAACAGCCTTTCTAAAGTTTTGAATCACAGCCAACTATTATAAATTCTTGTGTACTATTTCAATTGATTCAAAGCATTTTTATGCAACACAAAGAAGTAAGAAAAAACAAACCTTAGAAAACGATAGAAAATATATAAAAGAAAAATTTCATAAGGTTATTTGTTTCTTTAACTTTGGTTTTCTTCCTTCTCCGTCAGGGCAAACTTGGTTGATGGCGGTTGATGGCTCAGACAAAAGTGTCTGCAGGCGCAGTAAAGTCGGAAAAGTATCGTACAAGGTTCACAAATTGAGGGATGAGACAAGGATTTTAGACATTTCTCATAAGCTGAATAAGATTTTGGAATGATATTACCAATAAAAAGTATATTCAATTTGCTGCATCTTTTGCTGGCAACAAATCCATTAGAAGCAGACATTGTGATTCTTTTAGAGAAATGAAACCTGCTATCTTTTTTGAGTAAATATTATCATTTCTGTTTATAATTGTATGACTAAAAGCTATGTTGATGTTAGACCATAGAATTCATACATTTTGTAAGTCCATTGTGTATTCCACGAATTTTCCTGATGCTTTCACAAGGGCAGAGAAGGCAAAATCTAGCACTGAAACCATCACAGGCCCAACATATGTTTGTGCGATAAGATCCATAAAAATTTGAGGTTTTTTTTATATACTAGGCCCAAAAGTGAGGATTTGGATGCGCAGCTACAGAACTCTTGAAACTTAAATTATCTGGAAACATTCACTGATTCAAACTCAAAACCAGAATGAGGCTTACCTGATCTGCCAGAGACATCACATGAGCATTGCCAGTTATGTTCAGATGAAGAACATTGAATTTGTTTCGGTAACATAGATCATAGGCAACATTGATGAAACTAGTTGAGCCAGTTTTTGGAATTCGATTGTAAATGACTAGTACATCATCATCGGTGCTCAAAACTGGATTCCTTACGTCTACTTTTAGGCCCTTGTTTTCAAAATTTCCAGCATATTTGAGTTGTGATTCTATAAGCCAAATACAAAAGATTCTTGATTAGTTGACTGTAAGCCCATTACAAATAAATATAGTATATAAAACACTATGCTTGAAAGTAGCAACTATTTTTAGTTACTGATTGTTCTTCATCTAACTGCAAAAGAATAACATTGGTTGGCTCCAATGGAGTTAAAATTGAAAAAACTCTGATGCAAAACGAGAAAAAGAGGAGATGAGGGGAAAAAGCACTTTTATCAAGGAGTCTGTCTTAATTAAAAGATTACTTGCAGTTTGGATTGTGCATTAAAATATAATTAACTTTTTTTTTTAGAATTGAGCTGAAGTTTTTCCTAACAGCATACACTCGTTGAAACATTTCAAAATATCCTTAAACAATTCATTTTTGCACAGATACTATAGGTACAGATATATTTCTACCGAGAAAATTTTTCAAAGTAGAGTAGACTGTGAGAAGTAAAATCTTCATTATTTCCTGAGAAATTTGCTGAGTTATCCACTTAAATAGGGATATTATATACGTAGTGATTTCCAACAGACTGACATCTTCATGAAAAAGTTTCATTCAATTAGATTTTGTTCAGTGAAGGATTAGATAGGCAAAAATCAATGATGAAAGTTGCAAAACACAAATGAAGTTTTGTAAAGTTAAAAATTTCTTGTCATATTTTATTTTTACAAAGACAATAAACCGACAAACACTAGTTCTAAAAATTTTTGCAGACTTTTTTTCAGTCTATACAAAGCATTCTACAAAAATTTTGAACCATACTTGATTTTCATTGGTTTTTCTTAAAAAGATAAGTCTGCAGCAAAGAGTGGAGATTTTGAAATTCAAGAATCGAGATACATGTTTCACAATCTTCACTATTGATACATTAATACTAAAGAATGTAGGCATAAACGAGGAAAAAATTTAGATGTATTTAGCCATTGTTCAGCATTTGCAATTCTACTGATAATTAAGAGTAAAAGAAGACAAGTACTTACCGAATGATGTTTCAGAATTTTCTAGATGCTTTACTTTGTCAATTAAAATAAAAATATAAAGGCCCAAGATCAGCCAAGCTAAAATCCAAATGGGATTCGGTACTAGATTCCTTATGAGCATACTTAAAACTCCACTTTGCCTTTAATCCTCGACATTTCAAAGTAACCTGTGGTGCGTCCCATCAGTGGACGACTGGTTGGAGTAACTGTGCAGGAAAAAAATACAGAGGAGTCATCATAAAATTACTTTATAGGAGTTTTATAAATCCGTTTTGAGTCTCTTTTAAGGGGTGAAAAAAATATTCAAGGATTCCAGAAAGTTACAGCTCAGGATGATCAGAAGGGTGCCTCTACTTCATAGATGATCAAAATCCACCTAGATCAATGGCTTTACCTATTAGAAGCAAAGAGATTTGACACAACTAAAAAATTAGACACAGCATTGAAGCTCTCGCTGTAGAACTTGCAACTTATACTTAAGTTGGAAACATAGTTCATGTTTGACTGACATTTTCTACATTCACATTATCACTTCCCAGGTCAAACGATCCAAATACCTAAGCACAACAGCAGTGGTGCTTTCAGTCAATCCTTAGTTGCTTTTAAACAGCATCACGCCAGTTGATAGTAAACAGAGAGTAAACAACTGCTATCGAGTTTGATGCAAGTTCCCAGAGTGAAAACTGGTAGATACATGGAACTCGCATCAGATAGGATGGCAGTTATTTACTTTTAACTGTCAAGCGCGGTAGAAGGGACTTATGCTTTCACACAACTTGGCATAGTTGCCCACACTCAGTCCTCTATGGCGAATGAGCGACGGCAACGCAGTTGCTTACAAACAGAAAGTAAATAACTGCAAACTTATCTGACGCAAGTGCTGGCCAAATTATTTGACTGGCTTTCAGAAAGAGACAAGATCCCCTCAGGGCCATCGTTAATGATGCATAGGTTCGTGGGACAAAATGAGAATAACAGATCTTTTGTCGCATTCTAAGAGTAATGTCAGTAAATATTCCTTTCCAAACAATTCAAGGATTGGTGGCTGGAAGAATTCATAGACAAATTTTGTAAGTTTTACCTTTTGATTGGTATCTGCTTACTTAATTCATGGTACGAAACGCATACATGAGCTCACCGACAGCTTATCCACAATTTCTGGTGCCAGGAACCCTCTCTTATTGACTAAAATTTATACTTATTGTAAAAACACTGTAATTGTAAAACAATTTGGAGAATTTGGACGAATTGAAGCAAAAGCAAATGATATTAGCCAATGGGGGTATTGTATTAGCGATCAGCGAAATTAATGTAAACAAGAAACCGGTTCACTGGGTTCACTGTTGAATGTTGCAGATGCGTAGTTGTCAAACGTGATCAAAAATTAAAATTGTTTTTAAATGATAACAAAACTAGAGTCCCTTTATACCCAGAGTTAAGACAACTCGATTATCAGCTGACTGACAGCCGGCCTTGGCTGGCCATGGAGGCCGAAACGAGTGCACCCAAACGAACGATATTGAGGGATAAGGATCAGGAATCCTGCGATGTCTGTCACACAAAAACAACAACATCAACAAATTGATCAATTAAAAAGAAAATGAGATTGGTTTGTGAATAATTTCTTATTCTCTTTTCATTTTGGACCGATGGAAATGACAATTTATTCTTGATAAACCACAATTAGGTGATATTTTCATTATTCTTGTTCACATTCGAGGTACCGCCATCTTGGTGCACTCGTTTCGGCCTCCATGAGCGAGAACCAATCAGAATTGGATTTTTTTTTAGGCCACTTTCAGCCGAACCAAAAGTGAGTTGTCTTAACTCTGGGTATAAAGGGACTCTAAACAAAACAAGTTTTTATCACTGATAACCTAATTTCATGTTATTGGTTTATTACCAATTCTCGAGTCAGTCAATTGTCAGTCAATTGTGGTATCTCAGCATCAGCCATCAGCACCACGCAACCTTCTATTTTTTCCTTGGTATTTGAAGGTAATTCCACTTTCTTTTCTGCCACAAATTCACAAAATAACTTCTGTTCTGCCTCAACTCAAGTTCTGTTTTCGCTATCACCGTACAATTGTGGAGTGTAATTTTTTCCCTATCATGCAATGCAATTCCTTTTTACTTATTAATCACTTATGTTTCAAGTGCTTTCTGTGAAATTAGCTTTACATAGCTCTTATCATTCAGTGTAGCATCAACGTAAGAACAGATCTCCTTGCGTTGAGCTCAGAATTTTATTGCTAATTGATTTTCTCAGCAAACTGAGCAGCAGTGATGGATAGACTTTGCAAAGCTTGAAACCTGCTCTCTGAAATGCAGTATTTTTCCTACTTCAATTTTTTAATAATGCTCACTTCTTTATAGTCAATTTTCAAATTTCATGTTGTAGCGAAACTAAGGATTCTATTTGCAGCAATCTTGCTCTAGTCTCAATATGATCTCCTTTTTACCCCATCTATGTTTAATATTAGTAGTCGGGTCTAACATGACAAAGGCAGTTGTTTCAAATCATTGTTCACTGTGAGTATGTACTTACTAGGTATAATTTATACAGCATGCACGCCTGCATGCTGAAAGACAAGAGACTGCTGCTTATTGCTAATTATCATCTAAAATATACTTGCTCTTTAACTTACTTGCATATAAATGCTAAAGTGCAATGCAACTTTACAAATTTTTAGGTACCTCAATTTTTTAATAATGTATTTTCCGCCTTGCCTTTTAAGGTCAGGAAAATCAAATCTCTTTACACCTTCAACATAGCTCTCAAAGATGTATTCATAGTTGCATAGTTTACTTATCAAGTTAGATAATAGAAGAAAAAGTTTCATAAAAACGGTGGCCGGTCTTTAGCTAAAAATTTAAGAGCTCTTAATTCCAGCTAATTATTTTTCAGGCATTCAAAAGTTATGAAAGTTTCAGTTTTATTTCTCAATTGTAAACTCTTTTGAATTCTGTGACTCGCTCATTTGCATACAGTGAGAGATGAGGAAGAAAGAATGAATCCGCCTTTTAAAAAATGAATTTTTATTGCAGAAAATCAAACTACACAATGCCTGCTCGGAACACAGGGACTCTCTTGAAAAGTCTACGAGAACTTATGAGAAACAACCAGTATTTCAATGAAACGTTGGCTGCCTATGTCATACCATCATCCGATGCTCATCAGGTATTTATACACATTGTGCATTTGCAAGGTTTTTGACTTTGATAAATTAGGTTGTATTATATCATTGCCCATCAAGGACCATGAAGCCCATCATATTCAACCTAGTCAATACTACTATTTAAAAAAAAAGAAAAAAAAAAAANAAAAAAAAAAAAAAAAAAAAAAAAAAAAAAAAAAAAAGACAAGACGCTTTCAAATTGTTCATGGAGCATGTTTGGTATCGAAAAGTGCATGGAATTCTCATCAAATTATGAGGAAAACAAAAAAAAAAAAAATTTCTAGAGAAAATTTGTAACAGCTCTTAAGTAAATGAGTAAATTTTCAAGTGAAATTTTCAACATTGCAATGAAATTTTGTATGGTCCAGAACAATCAAATTATTTTTCTTTTTTTGATTATTTTCAGAGCGAATATTTGGCTGATCAAGATAAACGAAGAGAGTTCATTAGTGGGTTTACTGGTTCTGCTGGAACAGCCGTTGTTACAGAAAATGAAGCTCTCCTCTGGACTGATGCACGCTATCATGTGCAAGCAGAACAGGAATTGGATAACAACTGGACTTTAATGAAAAGTGGTCTTCCAAGCACGCCAACTTTGGAAGATTGGTTATCCAAGAATATATCTCCAGGCCATCATGTTGGATTTGATCCCTGGCTACATTCTTACAATGAGTGGAACTTAATAAAAACCAAACTCGAAAGCAACAAAATTTTCTTCAGTGCCGTTTCAACTAATCTGGTTGATAAGATTTGGACAAACAAACCCTCCCAGTCTGGCGCTGTTACACCTCATCCTTTGAAATTTACTGGTACATTTCTTTTTTCATTTCTTAATCCTGCTCTTCTTTTCCCCATTTTTTATCTCACAATTGGACTACTCACATTTTGCAATTTGAAACTATAAATTCTGGCTCTTCTGGAAAAACACTTATGTGCATGGAGAAATTAATGGCACTTACATTATTTTTAAACCGGGCTATAATTTATAGTTCCAAATTACAAAATAAAGTCCAATTATTAATGCGGATTGAATTTGACTTTTAAACTTGATCAGAAATTTTGCCGAAGCTCGAAAATTTTCAAAGCTGCCAAGATGTCTGCGCAAGCAATTGCTTTAAAAATGTTTGCATCTCAAAGGGCAGGGAAAATAAGTTCTCAAAGAAAATCAACAACAAGTCCAGGGCCGGATTAAGGGGGGGCCACATAGGCCGCGGCCCATGGCAGCAAATTTTGCAATTTTTTCAACATATGAATAATAAAAAAAAAATTTTGAGCTTGTATCCAGGCCTCAACACAGCTAAACAAGTCTTATGCGCCCACCCCTTCCTCCCCTCCGGCACGACTATTTATTGGTTCTTATTGATGTTTTAAAAAGGATGATAGGGGAGGGGGGGGCAAAATACAGGTGGCCCATGGGCGGCAAATAGGTTAATCTGGCCCTGGTCTGAATGTCTAAATTCATCAATTTAATTCTGAAATTGTGAAAGTTATGAAGAGTGTGGCATTGTTCAACATTGTACTATTTGTAATGCTGCAAAGAAAAATGTACCTTAAGGTGAAAACTCATCATAGCACCTGCAGCAAAAAAGACTGTTTTAGGGTCAAAAACATCATATCATGATCTGCTCTACTCTCTTCTATACTAGAATGTAACTACAGTTAATTTATATGTCTGCTCCCTTCTTTTTAATCAGGTAAAACCAGTGCAGAGAAAGTTAAGGAGGTTCGAGAAAAACTTGAAGAAAAAAAAGCTTCAGTATTAGTTCTGACCCAGCTAGATGAAATAGCATGTGAGTAAGACGTTTTTACCGGTATAATTCTGTTAGCAATTTGTTTCATTATCCTTGATTCATTGGCTAAAATAATGTCTCAGTCTTTTTTACTTTAACTCTGATTATCGTATTATCAGGATTTTTTCAGCTCTTGATAAATATTTGTTATTTTATTTCCTTTTCTTTGTCAGCCCCAACTGTTTTAAAAAACTGGTCATTTGTGCCATTTTTAGCTATTTTTTTCCAAAGTATTGAATATAACTGCGTAATAAATGAGGTGCGAGTGTTATTGCTATAAATTTCAACAAGATTAGGGGTGCTGATAATGCCCAATCACACGCCAGGCGAGAGCATCAAAATATAGAAAGACCCTAGAAATGTGGGGAAAGGGAAAATTTTCAAGGATCCGAAGTTGAAGCAAAAAAGGAAAATAGTCTTCAGTTTTGGAATTGGGGGCTTGTGTGTAATTATTAATACTTGCTTTGTATCTTTTCTCTGTAGGAAGTCTGTAATTGATTGGAGATCTTGCAGGAGGTGACAGAATAAAATGTCGAGTGGCCTTAATTATTATTGTGATGAGGAAAGAAAGTGCCTTTAAATTTTTGAATTTTTTTTTTTTTTTGTTAGTCTTACTGCAGAGAATTACAATGTTAGGTAAGGAGATTTAATCAGAGTTCAAGTTTCGAGTTGTTGTTCTGTCAGAATTCTTGAGTTTCCATGTTAGGTATGTAGATTTAACAGCACTTAAACTCTTGGAGGTGAGGTTTCCAATCTGACCACCATCCCTATTTGTCAACTCTAATGGTCTGATGAGCATTTAAAAATTTATTTCAACAACATCAAATGCAGACCTGAGTTTGGTTTTGTAACAGAAGGACCAGGATCATTTGTGAATTTTATTTTTTATTAAAGTGAGGTTTCTGTTTCCGTAATCAATCTCCACAATCAATCATGTTTTTCCTCTTTTTCAGACCTTTTCAACTTACGTGGCTGTGATATCTCATACAATCCAGTATTTTTTTCTTACGCAATTATTAGTCTCGATAAAGTTCTTCTATTCATTGATGAAGCAAAAGTTACAGAACAGATTGTCAAACATTTTGCTGAAGAAAAATTGAGTGTAGAAATCCATCCATATGATAAAATTTATTCCTTCTTATCAGATGTAAGTGCCTAATCTTTAGATTTCAAGCTATCTGGCTATACTGATTTCATAAGTCCCATTTGAACTCCTTGATAGCAAGCTGGTAATATCAAATGTACAGAACTGTGGTTTTTTCTTCTAGGCTCAACATCAGATTCAAAGAAGTATGCTTGTAATAGACGATTATTAGTACTGAAAGGAAGTCCATATTTTTTTGAACAACCCTCATTGAGAGAAGAATATAATCAGTAACTTTCTTTGAGAATCTATGCCTATTTTTTTAGTTTTCAGCAATATCTATTCCGACAAAGGTTTTCTCAAGTCCCTTTGTTAAGTGTAATGCTGAATCATTGATGAAGGCTTAAGGCTTATTTTTCTGTTTCACGATGACAGGAGTTTTTTGATCAAATACATTTTAATCTACAGTCTGAAAGGGGCTATTATGTAATGAAGTCACTTCTTAATTCTGTTTGTTTTGATAAAAGGCAGTTTTCTCAATCACTAAAATTTTTAATTGAAGCTTTCTTATTATTTTCTTTTAACTCTATCTCCCCAAGTGCCCATGTTTTTAATAATGTCCATTATTTATTTTACCCTTTCAGATTGTCTCATCATTAAACGACACAAAAATATGGATCAGCCAAGCTCTTTCAAATTATGCTTTGAACAATTTGGTGCCAGAAAAATCTAAAATAAGCACAATCACTCCTGTCCAAGTTATGAAAGCTAAGAAAAATCCGGTTGAAGTCAATGGTGAGAGTTTACATAGAAAAAATACACAAGATGGAGACACGTGGAGAAATGTGCATTTCCATGTCTGAGGAGCAACTGCAGGTCTAATTAAGGCAGTTGCAAAGTTGGATCATGTAAAGTGTGAAGCAGTTTGTATGCACCTCCGTGGTCTCAGCCTCATCGGTGATGGCCAATGTATATTTCTGTGGCACGATTAAATCTCAAGGTGGTTGCCTCTCTCCTACCCTCTGTATTTGCTTCATGGAGACATCATATTTTTAGATTGTAGTGCTCATGATTACAGATCCATTGAGGTTTTTTCTTTTTCCAGAGTGGATCAGTCAAAATATCTCATTATGACACTGTAATTTAGTCTCTATTTTTAATTACTTCCACCGATGCAATTTAAGTGTGGGTGCATTTTCACTTACTGAAACATGGAGTTATTATTATCAGATCTGAAGTATTTGTTTGGTCATACTTTTCATGTAAAGACTGCATAGCAGTTATCTGCTGAGTGATATTTTTTTTTCGTAGTTTCCCTTAGTTGAAACCATTGGAAGTCCTTTAAGAAGGGGGGGCACCCATCTTTAAGGGTAATTTTTTAGCCCACCCTGAATTTCTTCAACTCTAAGATTTTGTGTCCATCGAAGGTCTATATTGTTCCTCATGGTTTGTTGTATTGCTTATTCCTTACGGAATGCGTCATGATTTGGTCATTTTCGGTCTCTTCTCGGGTCTATTACTGGCCTACTCATGGGTCTGAGGACCGATTTTGGCAAAAAATGTGGGTATTGCCGGTTCGTGGTTGAATGCCTGGCTCAAAATCGGCTTTTAGGCCCATGTTTAGGCCAGTACTCGATCCCAGAAGAGACCAGAAGTAACTAAATCATAATACACTCCATAAAATATAGACCCTCAATGAGCAATAAATTGTAGAGTCTAGGAAATTCAGCTAGGATGGGTCTAAAAACGACCCTCACCGATACCCTTTTTACAAGTTTTGTTACCATGACATATAATTAACGTTAAAAAGAGCAGTCGGTCTTGAAGTCTATAAAAGTTGTATAAAATTCCAATCACTAAGTGTATTGTTTTTCCACAGTATTTCAACTGAACTTTTTCTTTTCAGGATTAATTAATGCTCACATCAAGGATGCAGCAGCTCTTTGCTGTTATTTTGATTGGTTGGAGAAAGAGCTCAAAAAAGGAAATAAGGTTACAGAAATATCTGGTGCAACCAAGTTGGAGGAGTTCAGAAGGTATTAAGTTTCTCAATCTTTTGAAGCACATGCAAGTGAGCTGTCCTGTATGGTTGGTTCAATTTGAATACTTTTTGTGTCTCTTAACAACCTAGGGAGAACCCTAAACCATTATTAATTCATACGTACCGATCGATCAGAGAGCTAATGTTTAGAAACCTGAGAAATTTTTCCCTCCCCACCGAAATTTGTGTAAAACTTCTTGTCTAACTATGTATTGAGTGTGAAATTATTTTTAATTCTTCTCAGAGAGCACGAGGACTTCGTCGATCTCAGTTTTTCTACCATCTCATCATCAGGGCCTCATGGTGCAATCATTCATTATAGTCCTACCCCTGAAACTGATAGACTAATTACCACTGAAGAACTGTATCTATGCGACTCGGGAGCTCAATTCAGGTAGATGCTATTTTATTTAACCCAAGTGTTTTATTAATGCAACAATCTGTACTTTCCTCGTTTTCTTTCTAACTTACTTTTTTGTCTCAGTTCGTTTTCGCTCCTTCAAAGGTATAATCGATTTTGAATCTGAGTTGTAATGTTATCTACTTTACCCTTGATCTTGAAAAATTTTCAAAAGTAGTTTAGAGTAACTCTCATGGAAATATATCAAATTCATAATTCATTTAGTTCTTTAGTAAATTACCTTTACAAGAGCTTCTTAAAGATTTAATGAGTTACAGTTGAAGTTTGTACAAGATTCAGTCTACTGCAGCCCGACCACAGACTTTCACATCTATTGAAACTCTGCTCCCACCCGCTCTTAAAGTTCTATGTTGCTACTTAAAGTTCTATTCATTTCTTTGGCTTTATCATGCTTAATTTTCAGAGATGGAACAACTGATGTTACCAGGACACTTCATTTTGGAAAGCCAACTGATTATGAAAAAGAATGTTTCACTAGAGTTTTCAAAGGTCAAACGTTTTTAGGAACTACTTCGTTCCCAGTTAAACTCAAGGTAAGCCAATTAGACCGAAATTTGGCGACTCAGCCACTGTGCATTACAATTCTTAAGTAAATCGGAAATAATTGTGAAATTAATTTAATGTGAATCACTGAAGTTTTGCTGTAAAAAGTAATTTATATTTTTCCCGGATTTAAATACCAAGCAATCAGGGAATCAGCACAATTCAGTTTGTTCACAAATATTTGTAATTGAATTTACATGATTTTTTCAGGGTAATTCTCTGGATGTATTGGCCCGTAAATTTTTATGGGATGTTGGTTTAGACTATTTGCATGGAACTGGCCATGGTATCGGCTCCTTTCTAAATGTACATGAAGGACCTATTTCAATTCACTTCAAAGTGTATCCTGAGGCCATTGACTTAGAAGAAGGAAACTTTGTGTCAAATGGTAATCATTTTTAATTTACAACTTTTAATGAAAAATGAATGAAATGTGCTCGTGAATTTTTTTGGACTTGATTGCACTCAAGGCAATTAAGTTAACTTACTTTTATCATTTGTAATCATCCATTAATGCTCTTGAAAAATTGAGTGAACCAAGGGACATCAATTACATAATTTTAAAATTATGCTCCAATTTATGGAAGAAAATTTGTTCTTGAGAAAAAAAGAAGAAACTAAGATGTACCGCATGCTCGTTAACGACATATCTAATTTTTGTTGTCTGTTGAATGCTGGCTATCATTTCTAATAGTAAAAGTATAATCATTTGAAAATATTTATTTTGATCGTTGAAACTTTTTGCTTGAAATTTTCACAATTCTTTAATAATATGATAAAAAAACAAACCTAGTGTAATTAATGTTTTTTTTTTTCCGCTTGTCCTCTTGACATAGGTCCAAGACTTGAAATCTAAGATATCAACGCATTGACTTAAGACATAAAAGTACTAACCATTAATTGGGAACTAATCATATTTAAAAATGTTAAACCTTTTAAGAGGAGGAGCTTCAGATCTAATGGTTGATTCAACAGGTCACATGCATAACATGCATTTTTACCCATTGTGATTTGCTCTCTTTTTGAACAGATTTTTAACATTTTTATGCTTTGTTGAAAAATTTTCTGTGTTTAGATCTCCATATTAAGGGTGTTTACCATCCTTCCCCTGTTTTTCAAGGGCCATTGTACATTTGGATCCTTTCAACCTTACTTTAATGTACCTACTCTTCTCTTTCTATTTTGTAACGGCTTTGCTGATGCATCAAATAATTTGACTTCTCTCTCGTTTTCAGAACCTGGGTACTATGAAGATGGCAAATTCGGAATCCGTCTAGAAAATATTGTCCGAGTTGTACCAGCCAACGAGACTAAATACAAGTTTAAGAAAGATTTCTTGAAATTTGACACAGTAACTCTAGTACCCATCCAGACCAAAATGCTAGTGCCGGAGATGTTAACACAACAAGAGGTAAAATTTCATTTTTAAAAAATATCTGCCCTAATCATATAATATACAGTGATCAGATGAAGAGCTACCTCCCTCCTCTATCTTGATTCATACAAATGAATTAACTTTTTGACCCAAAATGTACCCACGTTAAACACCTCTTTATGCTCAGGTATTGAAAGTTGAGTTTTGAGTTTTGTGGACTAATGTCCCTTTTCAAAGGACGGTCACAAAAATGAATTGCTAATCAATAGACACTATTAAACAGATGAAAAGTACCGGCTTCTTGGAAGTACCTTCAAACTGCCAAAAGTCATTAGATTGGGACCATTCGGATATTTTGCCTCTCTTTGGAGAAAAAAGTGACTTGAATTTGCTGTCAAGAATATTTTCTCTTGAATCAAAAGTACAATTGCTGGAATGAACTAGATATCTGCTCAATACAAGTGACTTTCTTCCTGCCTGACATGAGAACTTTTACTTTCTCGTTATTTTTTATTTAACAGAAAATTCATCTGCAGTGACAAATTCACGAATATTCCTGCTTAAGTCAATGAAGTCAATTTTTTTAGCACTAGGCGGGAGCTTTCATGCTACCTCTTTTTCGCTTTACAACATTATTCCGTGGAATATCAGTCCTGTCCCAAATGCGTTGTCTTGATATGAGTCTTGGGCAAGATATTACTGTTGGATGGTAATTCTAAAATAGTTACACAGATAAATGAATTCTAATTTTTTTTACCATTTTTTTTCTTAAGAAAGTTCTAAAAAAATGCATGAAAACTTTCTAGGGGCAGACAGGCAACCGGGAAAAAGGGAGAAAATGCTGATGGTCTGGTAAATATTTAGGATAATTTTAGTTCAGACTGTCCCATCATAAGACCAAAAAACAATAAAAAACGATAAACTCAAAGCTGGTCCAAGCACTGAAAGGTTGATACTCAAGATTATTTCAGTCTCAGTCCTTCCCTGAAACTTGTTACCTATGTAGGTGATAAAGAAGAAAGGAGTTAAAAGGTAGTGAGAATAAGAGAATTGTTAGAAGGAGTAGAGCTGTACAAACCACAATCAGCACCAGGTGAAATTAAAAGAAATCTAATGAGTATATTGGATAGGTACTTTTCTTAGTATCGAGAAACGCTAAGTTGCCTGTCAGCATTTTCTTGCTAAGTGACCTGAGTGTTATTGGAATCAACTACTTGTCATTGATGCTCCATTTTTATTCAATGCCATAGGTATCATTTCTGAACGAGTATCACTCTGTTTGCCGCGAGAAAGTGGGAGCTCTTCTCAAAAAAATGAATCATCAATCTGCTCTGGAGTGGTTGTACAGGGAAACAGAGCCCTTTGTACTGTCGCACTGATTGTAAGTAAAGAAGAAGAGGACCATACTACTTGTTCATGAGTTCAACATTACGCTCAACCATCAGGATGCCTTCAAACTACAAATATTTCCAAATTTGGAATTTTTTTATTTTTAATTTCTATTGCTCCATGTTTTTTCATCAAATAAGAGATTTTTTAGCGCACAATATTTAGATAGAGTTCAGGAAAACATTCACATGTACATTGCAGTCTTTCAAAATCTTATCTCTTGTTTTAATTTTTTGGAAGGAAACCAATTGACATTCCCACTCTAAAATGTATGCAATTTTTCTTGCGTATACAAAAGTTCTTTCTCTAAAATTTTAAGCGAAAATACTGGTTTGTTTCCTTCCTTAATATTTAAATAGGGGATAAGATTTAGCGACACCAAAATGTAGATGTTACTGTTGTGATGAACTCAATCCATCTATGACTGATGAACATTTATAGTCCATTCTAGAAACTATTTCCATCATTTTTCAGAGACAATAACTCTCAATTTTCTCTTGAGATTTCACTTATTTTCTGTAGCTAAGCAGTCATTAAAACCAGTCAATAATTAACATTAAGTACTAATTTATTTTTGTAAAACTGCCTGTGATCATTTGCATTTTGTCATGGTCAGATAAGGATTGAAACTGACCCATGGATCACTTTTTTTTATTCAGTCACAATAATAATGCATTGTTTCTCCTCCATTATTTCTTTTAATTGTCACATTATTCTGCTTCCTCTCATTTTTTTTTTGTCACCTAGTTACACCTTAAAGACAAGGTTCATACTTAATATGGTAGCATTTAAAGTTAACTTTCTTTTAGACGAGTAGGTAAACTTACCTTCTAAAATTGCTTGTAAAAAGTTACAAGCAAAAAACCTGGGGAAAAACGAAATTTTAAGAATTTCGGTTTTTCTGAGTAGCTTAATGTGGTTATTTTTTAGCAAAGGCATTTCGGATTGGATTGAAAATAACCGCAATTTTATCTCCTATCAAGTAAGTACCGCATGCATCCATACCCAGAATATCAATGGTTTCCGAGTTATCGGCCAAATCTGCAAAAAAAATAATCGATATTTACCTTTTTCTGATTTAAGGTTACTTTTTTGGGGGAGGGGGGCATTATTTGTAGAGGGAAAAATTTGGATTCTCGTTCAGGACCCTCTATACCCAAGTAGCAGTGATCGCAATTACGAGCGATTTTATCGGTTGATTATCGCGATCATATCGGTGGCAATATATCGAGATATTATCGCATTAAAAATTGCGACACATGGCGATTAAATCGCTACACATAGCAACTTTAGGTTAGATAAAATTGTGATCAATTTTCGTCGATAAAATCGAAATTCAATCGCCATTTGTCGCGATTTTTATTTCGAAAATATCGCGATAAATTGTCAGGCGATAAAAGGGCAATTTTATCGCGATAAGATCAAAGATAATCGCTCAGATGTTGATGATCCTGGCGATTTTATCGACGAGAAATTCGCAATACACAGCGATTTTTCCGTTGAGAAATGCTACTTGGGAGTTGAGCAATCCTTCGAGAAAAAAAATCCACTTCTAACACGGCGGGATTTACCTACTTGCCACCCATGGGCCGCCTGTATTTTGCCGCCCACTTCTCATTCGTTTTGAAACATCGATACAAACCATCAAGTGAACATGCCGGAGGGGGAGGGGTGCATAAGACGCGTTTACTGGTATTGGGCACATTTTTGGTGAAAGCCCTGTCAACTCCAGCAAAAGTTCACGGAACTTTTCGCGAAGGTTAAATTCCGTAAACCTATCTCTGTGTGGACAAGGCCTTTCATATACAAGAAACGAACGAAAAAATTATGAAAGAATAAACATGAATGTGGTTTAATAATTTTAATTTCCGCCACGGCGCCAACCGCACTGTGTTTGGTGCAATGCGTGAAGTATCCCCACAGTGTTGTAAGCGCTATGCGTTTCACACCGACTGCACTGTTTTTGACGCAATGCGTGAAGTAATCATGCAGTCTTGTAGGCGCTATGCGTTTCCCGCCGACCGCTGCTGACCGCACCACGTTTGATGCAATGCGTGAAGTATTCTTGGAGTCTTGTAGGCGCTAATATGTGTTTCATGCTGACCGGCGCGGCACGCCGAGGCGGCTTCTTCTTTCCATGTCAAGTCCTCGTCATCATTGCTCTCTGCGCCGCGCCGCTCGAGGCCAAATGGCGTGTTTGGTTTCTATATCAACTAGACTAATGAATGGCGCTGTCTTTTGTATCACCAAAAGACAAACAAATTAGAAATTAATATACTTTAACTTTTAGGAAATGAGAGATTTTGTCGCTTTTTCTCGTTTGTAATTTTTTTCTGAATCTGATTTTTTTTTACCTACTTTTAAAAAATCGCAACATTTGCCGCCATGAGCTGCGGCCCATGTGGCCACCCCCTAAATCCGGCCCCGATTCTCAAAACCGCATATAACACCAAATGAGGGGTTTGCAGGATAAAGGTGTATAAGTGCAGTTTTTGAAGAAATCAATACATGAATTATTTCAAATATAACTAGTCTGAATGCATATTCTGTGAAAAAGCTCACAAATCCCGATTTTTAAGCATCAAAAGTTTGTGTGAACTCTCTTTCCGCCGTAAAGATCCATGTAATTTCAAAACTTCAAACACGTATTTCTCGGAATAGAAAAACGCCGCAATTAAAGACGTTTTCAAAACAGCAAAGTCCCTATTATTTTTTTCATTTCTTACCACTCGTTTGATTTAATCCTCCTATAAAAACTACTCATTTGCTGAATACACTTCTGGCTGGAGCGCACTTTAAGCTATGCATTCACGACTGCTGAAATGTCAAAGAAAATCGACAAGGCCAGCGTGTATGAAGGCTATTTCAATGCATTTCTAAGGCGCAATGATACAACTATTTGAACTCTCCGGAATGCGTGAGGTATCACGCCGCATTTGAAGGAGTTTTCGAAACAGCCAAGTTTCGATACCCGGATTATCGTTTTGCAAAATTCCGCTTATTATGTTTTATTTCCTACAATTTGTTTGTTTTTAATCATCCTATAAAAACTACTCATTTGCTGAATACACTTCTAGCTGGGGCGAATTTTAGCTATTCATTCACGACGGCTAAAATTTCAAAGGAAATCGACAAGGCCAGCGTGTACGAAGGCTATTTCAATGCATTTCTAAGGCGCAATGATACAACTATTTGAACTCTCCGGAATGCGTGAAGTATTACATAGCATTTGAAGGCGTTTTCGAAACAGCCAAGTTCCGATACCCGGATAATCGTTTTGCAAAGTTCCGATTATTATGTTTTATTTCCCACCATTTGTTTGTTTTCAATCATCGTATAAAAACTACTCATTTGCTGAATACACTTCTGGCTGGAGCGCACTTAAGCTATGCACACACGACTGCAAAAATGTCAAAGGAAATCGACAAGCCCAGCGTGCATGAAGGCTATTTCAATTGTTTCCGTCGCATTCTTACGGCGCAATGATACAACTATTTGAACTCTCCGGAATGCGTGAGGTATCACGCCGCATTTGAAGGCGTTCTCGAAACAGCCAAGTTCTAATACCGGGATTGTCTTTTTGCAAAGTTCCGCTTAAGTATTATTATATGTTTTATTTCCTACCATTTGTTTGTTTCAATTGTCGTATAAAAACTACTCATTTGCTGAATACACTTCTGGCTGGAGCGCACTTAAGCTATGCATTCACGACTGCAAAAATGTCAAAGGAAATCGACAAGCCCAGTCCCGTCGGGACATAAAAGATCCAAAAATTTTCTGGGGGGGCGGCCTCCCCTTGGACCTCCTCTCTTTCCTGGGGGGTCCATCCCCACCCTCCCATCCCCGTGGGGCCCCTCACGATGCGTCGCCGCGGCCTAACTTTTTTCACGCCAGTCCGTGCCTGAGAAAAACTGCATTTATGTGCCCTGTCGGCCCTGTCCTTCAAATACTCCAAATGTCTTAACTAAGTGTCCGCCTCGGGTAGCCTTGTTCCGGAAAATCGAAATACGTCAAAAATCTGTAACGTTGAAAAGTGATCTGCGTGATTTCGCAGTTTTGCTGGAATCGGATATCGGGTAGAGTTGTCTCGTTTTAATAGAATAAGGCCGTCTCCAAGCGTGGCTGCGTGGCACGAAGTCGGAATCAAGACCAGGTGTCTCATTTCGCCTTCAATTTTGATGATACTTCAAGCACTTTCATAAAGCACGAATAGTGGTATCCAAGAGCCGTGTGAGTTTGAGAGCTTTGTTCTATTGTCATCTCAGGATTTTTCCCAGCCGAACGGTATTTTTTACGCGAGTGTTTCGGTTCGATGGTGTCATGGATACAGTTTGATAAAATAATAGCAAACTCGCTTTGAAAGAGAAAAGTTGCCCTTAAGTGCAGCACCAAGTCGGAGTTAAGACCAAGTGTCTCATCTCGCCTTCAATTTCGACGATGCCTCAAGCACAACCAGAATGCAGGAATAGTGGCATGACAGAGCCGTGTGAGTTCGAAAGTCTTGTTCTATTGCCATCTCTCGATTTTTCCTATCTCATAATGGTATCTTTGACGCAAGAAATGTCTCAGCTCAACATTGTCGTGAAATTGAGAAAAGCTACGATGAAATATGCTCAAATGTTGGGTATAGTTGTTACATTTTGATAAAGAGAGGTCGTCCCTCCATTGTTTTTGCGAGCTTTAGTAATGATTCATTGGAAACGTTTTTCACAAGTTCGCATCCTGGAAAGTATGCTTTGAAATTTTCACGCTTAAATTTTACCTGATACACATAAAATCTCAAACATTTTTAGTTTCAAATGCACTTACCTATGTGTGCGTTTTGTAGATGATTACTTCGATGGTCAAAGTCGAGAAATGCATATCTCCAATTGCGGCGTTGTAATTTTCCCTCGTCTACTATCTTTTTAAAATAAAACGAGGCAACAGCTTTCTCTACTTTAAATTTTATTCAAATTTTCATCACTCATTAAAAAATATTTACGGACAATTTTGAGGAAATATTGTAGTTAGTTTTCTTTTAAAGAACTGAAACACACGCAATTTTTAAATGTTTCAAACGGAGGTACTCAAATTTTTCGACTTTACCCATCGATTCGGTCGCTTTCTTTTAGTTACCCCACCAATTATTCGAAGGAATTTACGTTGGAGTGACATCAAATAGGTGAGGTTTCTTCCAAAAAATTAGGCTTCAACTCAGAGGAATGAAATCCTCGAAGTACGTATTAAATGTAGGCATTTATTTTTTTTGCACGACTTAAAATTAAGAAACCCCATACGTTCCCAGCCTTTGGTTACAACTTACAAGATAGCTTACACATCAGCAGGTTTGACTCAGATCTTCATTCTCTCGTCGGGTACCCCCGGACTCCCCTCTCCTTGGTGCTGACACGTGCTTGATGCAAGGACAGCCCTTTTTGAATTCAGTCCTCCATGATTTATTTTGAAACCAATTGCATAATTACTGTGACTTCAAAAAACTTAAATGACTTCACATTGGTACCATTTGGTAAAACGTGTGATTTACAAATTTCAGTTAAGAATTCGACGTGGATATTGCTGATTTTCGGTGTCTCCGGTGACAAATGACGATTTTTACTTGCATTGACGTACTCTGCCGTGCTGAGGAAGAACGCCGTATGAACATTCGAGAGTTGCAAAATTTCCCTCAATAAAACCTGTATTTTTGACA